TATCCTCACCCCAATAGGTGAGCGCTCAAGTCAGCAGTATCGTATCACCATTTTCCTGAGGGATCCGTGTCAGTGTCCCCATCCTGCCCTCACTTCCCAGCCCATTCCAAGCTATCCCCCCCTCTCCCAAGGCGAGCTGTCCCCCGCAGCGTGTTCCCTGTCACAGCGGGGCTGTGCTCTGCAGCGAGAGCAAACATCCTCCCGGCAGGAGCAAACAGCGCTCTCCAAACAAAGCCCGCGTACCTGCCGGGGCGTTTATCTCTCCCGGAAAAGGTGGGACACCGCGCCCGGCCGCACAAGGATGTGCAAACCGGATCAGAGAGCCGGGCGGCCCTGCCCCAGCGCCCCGTTCACCGAGGCCGGCGAGCGGGGCCGACCCCGCGCAACCCCGACCGCCGAGCGGCGCAGGGGCGCGGAGGGAGCCCCGCGGGGCGGGACCCGCCCGCTCCTCCCGCGGCGCGGCCCGTCGCCCCCCATCCCGCCCGCCGAGCCCGCGCTTCCCGCGGCGGGCCGCGGCCCGAGCGCCGCTCCCGAGGGAAGCCGGGCGCCGCCTCACCGTGTGCTCTGCTCTCGGCGCGGGCGCGCAGCGGCAGGAGCGGCAGGAGCAGCAGGAGCAGCCCCGGCGCGCCGCCATCTCGGGGCCTCGGCGTCCCCAGCCAGGCCCCGCCGCGGCCACCGGCCCGCGCCCGCCGCCGACGACACTTCCGCCCCGCCCGCCACGTCACCCGCCCGCCCGCCGGAACCGCGGGGGCGCTACGGGAGCCCCGGGAGCGCCGAGCGCTGCGGCCGCGCCGGGGAGGGGCGGGCGGGCACTGAGCGGGCCGGGCGGGCCCGGAGCGCCGCGCACTGTGGGCGGCGGGGCACTGCGGCCTCCAGCGTGAGCGCGGTCTGTTCTTACCCGGTTTAATTACGGCTGATAAAATTGTGACATTTTGATCGATGAAACAATCTACAGTTATTTGGGAACATCGCGGCGCAGGGCTGTGTGCGAGTACCCACTGGAGCACAAGTCCCGTGAGGAGCGGCTGGGGGAGCTCGGGTTGTGTAGCCTGGAGGAGGCTCAGGGGAGACCTTATCGCTGTAAAAATACCTGAAAGGAGGCTGTAGCCAGGTGGGTGTCGTGCTCTTCTCCCAGGCAGCCAGCGACTGGACGAGAGGACATGGGCTCAAGCGGCACCAGGGGAGGTTTAGACTGGACATTAGGGAGAATTTCTTCACGGGAAGGGTGATTAGACATTGGAATGGGCTGCCCAGCGTCACCGGTGGTAGAATCACCGTCCCCGAAGGTGTTTAAGGAGAGACTCAACATGCAACTTAGTGCCGTGCTGTAGTTGACAGGCTGGTGTTCGGTCGTAGGTTGGACTCTCACAGGTCTTTTCCAACCTAATTGATTCTGTATCATACGGGGTCCCACGCTCCACACCCCTCGCACAAGCTGCAGGAGCTTTAGGGGCCGGGGGTGGGCACTGAGGCGACACAGCCACACCCGGGCCTCGCCTAAGGGAGGGTTTCCATCAGCGCTGGATAAGATGAAGCCTGTAAACCTGCCTGTGAACTTGGAAGTCCCTCAAGCTACAAGTCCGAAGTAAAAAACCCCAAACAAATCCCCCAATCCAAAAAGCTCACACTATTAAGGATTAATTCATCAGACAACTTTTAAACTGAACATACTGTAAAAAAATTTACATACAATAAAAAAATTCAGAGGCTATCCGATGTAATATTTGAAAAAAAAGGTGGGCTACACCATCTTCTCAAATATTGCACAAGCCAACAAATAGACAACAAGGGACACAAGCAGAAGGCAGGAACTGCTCTGCTGGTACCTGCCATCCATGCTTTGTAGGAATGATGCAAAAACAGATTTTCTTGTTTACCACTGACCACCATACTTACACTAAAAGCTTTTCTCTTTGCGGTCTTACACAGTCAGTCTACCAACATGAACATATTTCACAAGATGTGTTTATATAAAGCCTTTTCCAGATAGAGCATCTACTATATCCTGCCTATTTTGGTAGAAGGTCCCTGCAGGCAGTGACACTTGCCAAAACCTATGCAAAAGCCCTGCTTACATTACGTACACACACAAAGAAAACTTAGACAGCTTTGGTAACACCATATGTTTCTTTCTAGTCATTGCATCTCAGTCCAAAACAGAGTAGCTTACCCTTGGGAGACAGAGAGAGGAGGCTTCAGCATCTTCAGTTTATTCAGTACTTAAGCCTCAGTCAGCAACAGGGCCAGCCAGAGCCATCTGCTGCAGCAGGGTTTTCAAGGCATGTTAAACAAAGAGCAAACACTTTTTCTGGGCCAGCAGCTGCCAGGTGAGTTTGGTGGATTGGTTGATACCCCCACAGCTGGCCAGGCCACTTAACTTTTACCAGCAATTTTATTATCTGTTCAGTCCTTGAACTCTAATGGCCATCAGAAACACTCTTCATTCCCTCCCTCCCAAGCATATTCTTGAGTAACCAACAATCGGTTGCATGCAGTTTTCTTCTCTGGTCTCTTCTGAGCTTCAGTTTCAGCACACTTTTTATCCCAGGTGGAAGCAACATCCACCACGTGCTCACCAGCACAAATGGAGTCTACAGATACAAAGACTCCATATGTTAAGATGTTCGAGGTTTAAAGCAACTACATGAATCCAACCTTTGTGGAACATACACTTTGGTGGCTAAGCAGGGGCATCTCTGCTGGCCTGCAAGAGACTTGGAAGTCATGCCTGCATCCCAATTGTTTACCTGCATTTAACAGTGAAGCCGTTTTAGTGCTGTTCCTTTTCTCCTTGATAGGGTGATAGTTTTGCGGTGATTGCTGGTCGGTGAGATCTCTAATTAATCCAGCAGAAGTGAGTCAGGAATGGCTGAGACTACAGCTGCATCTTCAGTTTCCCTACCTTAGGCAGTGCAGAAGGGGCTTGAACAGAATGCATTTATAATATGCCTCAGGTCCAGCTGTCCCAGCTCACCTCTCCTCCAAAGCAGAGTCCCACTAGCATTTGATTTTGTATGATAGGTCAGGTCAGAGTAAGGAAGTATCAGAGCTTCAAATGGGACAGGGACTGAAAGGCTACTTATGAGCTGCTTTTCAGCAATTCAGATATAAACCATCTCACCACAGCACTAACAATAAAAATCCAATTCACAGACATGTTATCAGGATTGTGCAAAGGCAACCCCTTAAGTACGGTACATTAAAAACTAGCTTGGAAAGATGGATCCCTGGACTGCTTCAGTCCAACAGCTTTGAAAGGAAACCTTCTGCACGATACACTTTTATATTTTTCTCCTAATTTCCTGCCTTATTGCAGTTTTCCCCACATCCTACAATTTTACCTTATGCTGTGTCTGACAGATGTGGAAGCAGATAAATTCCTCTTATCACATCATGTCTCCAAGCTCTGGGACACAGCTGCAGCCAGCACTAAGGAGATGGGGAATTTTTAAACAAAACCAGGGAACTGTGTGCAAACCAAAGCATGGGACAGCTGAAGACAATCAAGCTGCTGAATGTCCTCTTTTGGTTTATTTCATTTATCCCAAATTCCTTCACTTATCCTTGCTACTATTTTCCTCATTTCAGCATCAAAACCTCCTTCCCTGCTTCCAATTTGACCTAATAGTGGTGGAAACCTTGTTTCATTCAAAGGGGAGCACAGGAAGGCAGCTCCCACCTCACCGTTCCCCTGACAACTGCGAACAAAGAGCAAACTGTCAGTGAGAGTCTACAGTGCCAGAGTTACTGGAGAAGGCACTGAGGTCCTTTAAATAAGGAAAAAAACCCAAACAGGAAGATGCCTCTGTAGCTATAGGCTTGCAGCACAACACCCGCACCCCTCTACAGTCAAAAGAGAGGGTATATAAACTGCATTCTGAGTCATACACTGTGATCTTAATGCATAGATGGTATTTAGCATATGCCTATATCCCTGAAAGCAGCAGGGGCTTCTCCACCTCTATTCAGTGCTGGTTGTCACAGTTGCTGTCTTGTCACTCCTGCAGCTTCACACACTGGGTTTGCCACCCTGCAAGAGAAAGGAACTGCAACTCTGTGACCTGATCGGACAGAAGCTTTATGTGTCCTACCTGCATCTGAGGGATCACCTAACACAGGTGTATTTATGTCTTTTTCAGGGCTGGGAGAGGGAGAATGGCTTGAAAACCAAGTAAGTAATGTTGCTTAATTCTCTGCCCTGATTGTTATCTTGAAGAATTCCCATCTGTGTCACTCTTGGACAACCAGAGACCTATACTTGCCCCAAGGGCCAGGATACGCACAGAAGATTTCAAGGTCTGGAAGAGAGCCAAACCAGGAAGCTTCCTTAAGTTTGTAAGCCCTCAGGCAGAAAGAAGGCTGGACACAGCTGTTGTGGATTCACATTGCTAGAAAGGAACTGTAGAGCAAGCAGAGTCCAGCCCCCAGGCTGCCTGTTTCCACTGCAGCCAACTAAAACACAGCTGGTATTTGTGAGGTGTGTGCATTGATAATTGGAGACTCACTGAACTATTTCTGAGCATGAAGTGAAATGCCTTCATATTGCTTCTGTGATGACCACATGTAAGAGATACAGAACACAGTACTGCCACCAGTTCCTTCCTCTAATTTGAGAGGCCAGTCATGTGATTTTGTTACACCATACCCACCCCCTCCACAAAAAAAGGTTTAAGTACAGTTGGTTTGTGATACAGCAGGTTCCTTACCAACTACCTTGGAAATTTTCATGTTAAACGCAGCACACACAACCCCTTGCTAATGTCTGTCCTCTTCAGGGAGGGAAGGGAAAGGAAAAGGCATTTTCAAGGCTGCATGCAAAATACATTCTTCAAGACAGACAATTTCTCATCCTCCCGTGGTTTAATGATTGCTGGAGGGGGATGCCATACCTTCTGAAAGGTCAGTATATCTGTGCCCAAAATGTTTTGCCTAACAGCAGTATATTCACCTGCTCCTGCTGTCATGAGCATTCTTCAAACAACTCATTTTCTTTAGTTTTTCAAGTATGTTTTCCAGTCAAGCCCTTGTAGACCATGTTGAGGGTTTTAGTAACAATGCTTATCAGTATTTAGTTCTTAAAAGGACACGTGTGCTTTCTTGGTCAAAAGGAAACTTCATGTCGGTGCAGGGCTCCCAAGACACACATCAGCATTCTCCTTCCCAACCATGATACTTTTTCATGAAGCCCCAAAGCACCAAAATTCTTCCAACTAAAAAATGTTATAGAAGGCCAAGAAGTCTCAGTGAAAATCATGGGGAAAGTCACCAGAGCTTTAGGGAGGAGGAAAGGGATGAAAACATTTTGGTCCTGCTTATAAATAATTTAAGACAGCCAAAAAATATCTGTACAAACACATGTATAAACAGAAAAAAAATCTCATATTCCAGAGATGTTGAGAAATTCAGCGACCTCTTGGTGGTACAGGTGGAGGATAAAAGTCTTCACAGCTTACAGGCCTATAAAAAGACAGAGAATAAAAATGCATGCAAAAATAGTAGAAAATAGAGTTCTGGAACAACACGTATGCAATAACATCGTATGTGAGAATACTGTACAAGCAATAGTCATATAAGAAGAAAAACAGGCTATCAGTGATTCAGCAACAGAGCAGATGCCAAGCTGCCAAAGCCCTGTTCCTGTCAAAGCTATTTCTTCTGCTCTTCATCTGCAGTAATTCTACTATTACTGTAAGGAGATACTATAATACTTGGTTGGAGTAAAACTTTGATAGTATGGTAGCTTTCTCCTGAACATTGTATGAAAAGCAATAGGAAGAGATGAAAAGATTCTAAGTCTTTTTTCCAACAGACTACAGATAAATTCCAAATATATTCCTTGCCAGAGCCAAGCCAACATACAGAACTTGCTGCACCCACACAGTGGTAATTACTGCTTTAGCAGTTGGAGAATTTTATTAGTATCTGTACTGAGATAGCTTTCTGGGGCTTGGACTTCATAGACTTGCACTGGTTGGCCTGTTTGGAATGTTTACAAGTTAAAGTTAGTGGTGTCGTGCATGAACCTCAGTGAAAGCACTGCAGTAGGAATGTTACCAACTAGGAAACTGTGAGGTTTCCAACTAGGAAACTGTGTAATACCTCCAGGTATTACAGATGAGAAACAAGGATCTTACAATTCCTAACAGTGTGTGTTGGACAGATAAGAGTCTGGTAGATTTTGTTCAAAGACACACTTGCTTCCTGCCCTGCTGCCAGCCTCACTTTCTGTCCAAGGCTTCCATATGGATTCAGGGAAAACTCATTTTTGAGCTGCCTTTTAGCTTTACCTGCTTGCACCTCGAGGAGGCACTCTGGGAGGCCTTTCTGGGAAAGGCAGCCTCTCTGCTTGGTGGGCAACTGGGCTGCGGCTTCTAGTTGTTTCTGGGACTTCATTGTCCTACAAAACAAAAAGAAGTGTTTACAGACCAGCAAAATTTGGTTCTTGCTAGCTTCACAACAGAAGTGGCTACATTTTTCCATTTCTGCAAATGCAGTGCCATCTCTGAGCTCCTTTTTTTTGCATGAAAACAAAGCCATGTACTTAAGAACAGCCGTATATAGCAGAGGTGAGAGCTTACCTCACTGTCCCCTTCCATCCCACTGCTGACACTCAGTATGCTGCGAGTGCTGGAGCGGTTACTTGCACTACCTAGAGTGAGTAAGCAAGACAAAACAAACTGATTATTAAATTCTGGTGATTTAACTGCAAATCACTAACTCAGGGCTCTTTTAACCTCATGCTTAACTCTTGCACACATAATTTAATACTTCTTTAATTTATTTCCACTGTTATTTTTTACATGTTCAGGATCCAAAGAGCAGCATTGCATACAACACAAACCACAGGGCCACGCTATTAATTATGCTTTCTTTCTAGAAGATTTCTGCCCTATCTAGATCCAGTCTTCTGTTAAATACTCACAAGCATGGTTTAACTGAAAAGATCTGGTGCCAATATCACCTGGCAAGTCAGGCAAATATTTTCACAAGGGTTACACACCCAGCATTTATGGATATTTAAATTATTAGTCCCCATATCTTTAACAACTGCATGAAGGTAGACAGCTCTGAGCACTGTCACCTATTTATTACTGGAATAAGTGACTGCTTGAGAGGTTATTGTTCCAAATAGGTACTTACCACCTCCTCTCACAACAACCCTCTCTCATTGCAAGAATGTTTCCTAGTCTGTTTCCAAGCTAAAATGAAAAGTTTGTTCATACAACCTTCAGCAACCATCTATACAAACCCATTTAACTGTCATGGACTCAGAGGACGGATTGTTTTTGCAATCAGTCATGCCATCTCCAAAAGTGACAGCAACTCACAAACATATCCTACACTGTTATGGTTGGTTTCAGTCATAAACAGATAATGTTCTATAGGACTGTGAAATACTGGGACACTAATGTTCAGAAACCTCTATACCGAAATGGTAGCTAGAGGTTTTCTCCTAAGATGCAGTCCTCCTCCCTACTAGCTTTGGTAACATAACTCTCTTTATCAGCTGGTACAAACAGAAGCACTTAAGAGTGCTAAATACTGTGGTATGGTCCAATTCTCACAGTCACACTATGAGAAAGAGCACCAAGCTGCACACAGAGAACTCTGCAGACTCTTAACATTTCTCTCACAACTGCTTGTATGCAAGTTACTGGTTCAGTCAGCTTCCTCTGGCACCTATTCTCGATGTGTGCCAGCTATATCTTGCCAAGAGTCAAAGGCAGTAATCTCACTGGGACTCAGTTTTCCTTTCAGAGGACCAAAATGATCCTAATGCTTTCTGCAAGAATTGCTCAGTCTGCAATAAGAGCAAGAATGCAGGGATTTAATTTGCACGAATTAAACCTAATGAAAACCAAAGATAATAAAAATGCGCTGACTGTCCAAGTCACTCAAGAGGTCCCACAGTTACCAATGAAAAATGCTGTCCTTTTTCTACAACAATTGAGGAAATGACATGCAGAGACTGGTTTCCAGCCTGAAATATGAATATGCCCTTCAGGCCAGAAGAGCACACAGCCTGCTGACAGTCACAGCATGGGAGCATCCTTTTCAATAAGAGAGCAGCTGCCATCTACTCTTCAGAACTGCAGACAGGTGGTATGCCTTCCCCAGGAAGACTCAAGGGAATCTTTTGCTCAGCTTTCAGGTTCTTCTCCTGCAGAGATGCACACACAGGATGCCCAAACCACTTGATGTACACCCAGAGTTGCTTTTACAGTTTTGAGAACAGCCAACCTGAGGCATGCAGGGTTTGGGGTGGCAGTGTCAGTGCTGAGATTCAGGAACAGAAGTCCTGTCCCTGAGCTGACTCGAGGGTCAGGCTGGGGAATTGTTTTCCATCCAGCTTTCCTGTAGAGAGGGTGACACTCAGGGCTTGCTTACTTGTTGTGCTGGATGTGCTTTCTGTTTTCCAGTCTCCTCGCTTTAACTCCTTTTTTGGTGGAAAAACGTTTTTCCTGGGGGTGTATTCATATATTCCACATTCTGGTCTCCCCAAAGTATTATGAGAACGTCGAATGGGTACTGTAATTTCTAAATCTAGAAGGGAAAATGAACAGCTCAGAAGGATCTATGCAATTATAGCCTCTGAGAGACAGTTTTGCACTTAAGAACAAAGTTAAACACAAATCACATAAGGGCAATCATAACTATACATGAATGAATCAAGATGCACTCCACAGATGTGGGCATATTTTCCTTGTCTGTGAAACTGAGGAGTAAAGAAACTTCCCTATGCTTTTGCCAACTGGCACATGGATGTGCATGTTAAAATATCACAGAAATACAATATACACAGACATATTTCTGCCTGAAGAGCCTATTAATATGGTTAGGTGCTTCATTACCAGAGAATGTGTGAATCAGAGACTGTTACCTGCACTTTTGTCTTTTTTTTGCTTCTCCATTTGCCTCCTGGTTATGCTGTCTCGTAGACGTTTCAGATTTTCCTAGAAACATCACAAGATATGTTTTTCAGGGCTTTGGCTAAAGGAGGATGAGCAGCTTTCTGACAAAACTAATATTATATTTCATCTAACTTTGCAGCCAAGCTGTAACAAAGCCTGCTAGACCTGGCTGAAGTCCAAACCATGTCAACAGGTTTTAATCTATTCCCTTCAGAAACCCATGTGTGCCTTTCAGAAGCCAAGATTTTTTAGATGTTCATTGTGTACATTAAGGTCAAGTTCACACACTCAGTTGCAGATAAGCAGCACAGTGGGTGTAGAACTCCCTCTGTTTTCTGTTTGCACTGTGACATTGGCACAGAAACAAGACACACAATCAACTAACTGCAAAGTCCTTTCTGTACTAATAAACAGGTAATTCTGACTGCAGGGACAGAAAAGGCTGCCACACATCCCAGAGTGTGAGGGACAACTCAAAGAATTCAGGACATCCCCAGTGAAGCAAGAGGGGACACCTGGAAATGTAACTGGGAGCAAAGTCTCTTCACCATTGTGTGGCAGCATACTGCACCTTACAGTATGAAAAGGTGGGTAGAAAAAAGACAACTTTTTTTCAGTAGGGAAATATGTACATATCTGAGAGGAAATATGGTAGAATCAGTGGAAAAGCAAGTGAAACAATTGCTGTACCATGAAGCAAGATTTGAAGCAGAGACTTTGAAAGCTGCTCGTGGGATGGGGCACAGAGCATACCACTTCATCTCTTCTACAGACAACTACTAAAGTAGCACTGTGTTCTTCACTGACAGGAGAAGGGATTCCTCTGACTGTTTCTGCATAGAGAAGATCCTTCCAAGTGAGAATGAGGAGGAGAAAAGCCTTGACTTTTTCTGACAGCTTCCAAAACAACGTCACACACTGGAGACCAGCACCTCAAGTATGAGAGCAGACTGCCACAGCACGAGCAAAAGGCTCCAAAAGAAGCAAGTAGTGGTTTTAAAGAGGGAGCCTCTAACTTAAGAATGAAAATTTTAAACTATGACTGCTAGTTACATCAGTCATTATGCTGCTGCTGCCAACAAAATTACTCCTTCATTCAGTTAAGCCACCCAAACACCCTGCTTTTACTAATGACTGTTGCTAGACCTTGCCCAGCTGCAAAGAACAGTCCTGGAGCCATCAACAAACACCCAGGGAGGGATCAGACCATCTACCAGCTAGGACTTCACAGCCAACACACCATCTGGGACAGTCTTCACTGATCTGAAATGGATGAGAACTGACAAGCTAAATGTTCATCCCAGAAGTCCCCTGCCAGCAGGTAGCTGTTAGGTGACCTCTGGAAAGGTAATTCAGCCAACTGGATTTGGTCCAATTCGTAGTGCACAGATCTCCAAAAACTAACAGTACTACTGCAAGACAAACAGATCTGCATAACAGCTACCTGCTTGCTGCTGCCTGGCAACAGCCCCTCCATGTCAGGAGAGAACTCTGCTAGTTAGCAGAGTTAGCAGTTAGCAGTCTTCCTGCTCCAACTGGGAAAGAAATGTACCTGCACTGAAACAGCTTGTGATACAACCTAGAGAGACAGATGTATTTCTTAAACAGTAGAGTAAGTCTGTACCTGCTGGAACCGGAATGATTCTGATCTCTTTTTCTGATTCAGTTGCCACTCCTTAAAATGAAGTACAGCTTCATCCACAGTGAGTATGCCCATTTTCACTTGCTCCTGTAATGTAATCAGCTGCCGTTGGCCTGGGGTTTTCATTCCGGCAAATGGATCATATATGCTTGATTGAGACAGGTCCCTTACAGGCCTGACTATTGTCTCTGAAGAGAGAACACCACCAAAAGTATTATTGAACTTGTGACATCTGCCTTCCTCACTGAATAGAAAGAGCTCAAGCACCCTCGATATAGCAGAGATGCAAAACAAAAAAAAAATTATCAATTCTGTTTTCTAAGAAGTGTTTTGTTCTTAGGCCATCCTGCTACTCCTTAGGGCTAAAAGCCCAGCTGAGAGGCAGCCTTGTACACAGATATTTCCTGGAGATCATCTCTGTTCTTAAAAACATAATTTAAGTGAACATCACATAATGTATTCCTTAAAGTGCTCAGCTTCCTCAGCAATCCACAAAACAGAGCTTTCATCTTGGCAGTCACAAACCTAGACTCTTCCTAGGTAATTTGTACAGCATAAGTCCAGAAACTGAAAACTCATTCTAATGATGCTGGCATTTTGTAACTCATTTGTAACATAAAGAGGAGTTCCCAACACATGAGATAAAAGCTTAGATGTGGTACCTGGCACTCTGATAGTGCACAGGATAAGAAGTGAAAGTATGAGGACAGAGGTTTGGAGGTGCAGAGAGCAATGGCAATCGGTTCACTAGAAGTGAAATCACGGGATAATGATTAACAAGGAGTGGCTATATACAGAATATTAAAAGAGGGACATCATTTGCATGAAGTAATATGGTTCACATCATAAAAAAGGACTTCAATGACCATTATGATCCTGACTGAGGATAAACTCCAAGACAGGGGATACATGTACAGTACATGATAAAAGGATATAGTTAGAAAAGTTTCCAATGTCACATGAGGTCAAAAAGGTTGGGTATTCATAAAGGACTGTTATCCCCAGAGCTTTGTAAAACAGTCTTTTCTGTCATATTTCATGCAAATGAAGCTATCTCAGCAGATCTGCTTTTGGACTACTGGAAGGATTTTCAGAGTGAAATTCTGACTTACCTTTCTTAATCCTTCCTCTAGGGACATAAAGATTCTCAGGTCTTTGAGCTTTCTGTGCAAAAACTGCAAAACAAACCTTCTTTAGATACTGAAATGCATCTCATGAAGACAGAAATAGCATGGATGAATATGGGAAGCACACAATTCTGTAGTGCATTACAGCTTCTGTTACCCTACTAAGTCCATTAAAGAAAACAAAAGATCTGTACAGAAGAATTCCCTTTCTATTGACCTCAAAGAATTTAGCCCAGTCACCTCTAAAAGAAATCTGGACATGGTTTCCCCATAATCCTGCCATGGGAGGAAGGAGAAGTCACTGAAATTACTCTCTGACATGGTACTGTGGTTCTTGTGAGAATGTTTGTGAAATATGAACAAGATTTCCAAAACTGTCTAGCACACTAAGAGGCACAATCTTCTTTAATTTCAATTAAACCCCGTCTCAGAGGGAGATCATGCCCTATATAAATGTGATTGAATCAATGATACTATTACAGAACAGCAATGTCTCAATTTATTAGCTTGATTGTGTCCTTATAATATCAGGATCTTTCCTTTGTAGTTGGATTTGTTTATACCATTTGGGGGTAATCTGTCATCCTACTTCTTTCATTAAGAGCAAGCTCAGGTCACAGTCTTGAGATACAATATCCTCATATTTTCAGAGTAGACAGAAGATGAAAAATAGATGAAATTGGATCTCAAAGGTGGTCCAACTCCAGAGTCAAATAATACAGGGATCTCAAAAAGTGTAGGCTTTCTTGGCATTTATTTGGCAACTGAAGCCCATGTCAATGCCATACTACAGTTGACTAGTCTACATTTCCACTGGTACCCAACTCACTTTTGGAGATGTACAGCTCATTGTCTGGCTGTGGAGAACTAGACTCTGGTCTTGGAACAGGGACTGGAGGTCTGTTAGCCATTTCCTGTGGAAAAGTATCTTGTTCCACTGGGTAGTATACATCTTCACCACATGGCTCATAAACTTCCTCTGAATCTGGCACATCCATGCTACCGCCTACAACAGAGTACAGTTTGTAAGAATAACAACCTGGTCACTTCACTGAACACTGGACCCCTCCAGATGCATTATGTACCACATTTTTACCAAGCTGGCCATTTCACAGGCAAAAGCATCCAGTTCTGCAGTGACTTTAGTGTGCCAAAGCCCTTCAGGACAGGACTTGACTTGATAAAGTCATGAACATCTAGTAGCATGTAACTGTTTGCCACTAAACCTGTATCACCTGTTTTGGTGAAGAAATAGTGAAAAACCTCCTAACTCTTTTTAAGAACTTGAAGAACAATTAGTTTAATTAATTCCAGTTAATTGACATACTATAGTTAACAAATCAAACAGAGCACTGGTTTCCAAAAGCTATTTATGATAGCATACAAAGTACTAAAGAGAATTGTTCCTTTGTCTGAAGCAAGCAGTGTGGACTATCTCCTATCCTTAAGAGATTAACGAGAAATCTCAAATTCTATTTAATTGCTTTAACTGTGCTGCTGCCATCCCTCCCTCCAAACAGATCTCACCTTCTAAAAACCTGCGGAGCATGGAGTCTTTTGTAGTTAAAGAAACTTCATCTCCAGCAACTGGAGTGTCTGGTTTGGACTGAAGCATCTCTACATCTGAAAAAAAAAATCAGAATTATGAACCTGTTAATTATATCCTTAAATGTGTGGAACAATGTAATATAATATAATATAATAAACTGATGTGGTATTTCTGACTGGACCTTTGGTTAGTGGTGACGACCAAAGAAGAAGCTGGGCAACTGACCAGACATGTTCCTCAAAAAAGGTTTCTGAGTTGCCATGTTCAGTCCACTCTGCACAAATCTTTTCCAGCTGCCTGTTGCTTACACTTGAGGGTGACTAACACTGCTGTTGAGAAGTTCTGACAAGGCTTCAAGCAGGCACCGAGTATTGGTTACTACTGAGAGTATGTTGGGCAGATTAAAGTTTTGGCCTCTGCACAGGGCTCTCGAGAGGAAACCTGTGATTTTGCAAGGCAAGACATTAAAGGCAATTTTCCCATGACCCAGAAAATAGTGTTTGTTTTGTTTATTAGCTAAAAGTCAAAACAGTTGGCTGAGTTAATTAGTTAGTCTGGAAGGTGTTTAGGGGGTCAGATGATAATCCAGTATTGAGGAAGGAGTGACAGCAAACAGTAAGATACCTTGTTAATTCAGTGTTTTACATGAAGAATTCTGATTTTTTTTAAAAAAAGGGTCAACCTCAATGTAACCCTAAAACTAATCCTAAAACTAAATGTTAGGTAACCATGCTCCTAATGATATTAAAACCAAGACTGATTACTAAGTGAATTGTTGAGGCATATCTATTACTGTGTCATAATTCTATTGCTACATAAACTAGACGGTTTGGGTTATATGCGAGAATATGAAATATTTTTATAAATGTATTTTTATATTTTCTAATATTTCTCATTACTTTCCTGTAAAGCTGCGATTATGAGAAAGGAATAAGAATATGCCAGCAAGATTTTGTGTTTGGTTTTTTTTTCATTTTTTTTTTAAATCAAATCAATTAAATTAAATCAAAGGACTCACTGACAGTCATATGAATGCACTCAACCTAGATTTAACTTCCCAGGAATACCTCCAGCATAGCCACAGCACTACTGCATGCTGTGTGGACTAACCACACCAGCAGCTTCTTAAGAGCTCTGCTGTCCGTGCCATGTTGCATGCTGCTGGAGCTAATCTCCTCACCATCAACTAAATAAAAGTTCATGTAAGTGTCACTGCATTACATGAAAGCACAGATTTGACATTTGAGCACGCTGAAGAATCAGCACTGTAGACCTGAAGTTTTCTGTAGAGCCATTTTTCCACCTTATAGCCACTTTGATTATTTTTAACTTAGCTTTTAGAAATGAACCTGTAGCAAACACCGGCCCAGAGGAAAGCCACTTCTTTATGGGTTTGGGGGCAGAACAGAACATGACAGGTGTGCAAAGTTCCTTTCATTCTCTGTGTAGGAAACAGTGTCTTCCCAGTTTTGGCTGTGCTCCACAGGATTACTAAACCATCAGTGCAGAGTATTGCAGGTTTTGCTTTCTATCACATAGTATAGTTAAATTAATCAGCTAACTAGTTCTCCTCAGAAGACAAGATTGCCACCTCGCTGCCTTCTTGAACACAGGCCTGTTGCATGCAGAGGAGACCTAACACCTCATCCATATACCATAACTGAAAAGAATTTCTCCAATTTGTAAGTGACACCACCTGCTCCACTTGCTGCAAAAACAGGCTAGTGAGACAGAAGTGACAAGAAGGTGGCACACACAAACGGGTATTACAGGAAAGGTCACCAGATTTTCCTGAGGCTACTAGGGAAAGCTGGTCTGAAGGGTTAGCAGGAAGAGGGTTAAGCAGTTCCTAGAAGTCAGAATTTAGTAGCTAAAAGATATTTATTCAGAGACTTTCAGTTTCCCTTTGCAAGGTTTAAAGCTGCAGAAGGGAGCTCAACCGACCTGCAAACAGACATACAGAAGATGGATTATGACCTATAGACCCTTCACAACAGCTAAAATATCCATGTGTGGGAACCCTTTAGAAAGTAGGATCACCCTTCCCCCTGTAAACATTTGTAAACACTAGATGCCAGATATTCCTGCACACAAAGCAAGCTACCTCTTTACAGAGACCAGTCCTTCATTATGCAAGACAAAAGATTCAATGTGTTGGCATAAATCACAACTCAGAACTTTATAAGCAGTTATATTTTTGTGCACAGTTCTCTCAGCTTGCTTGAGGATGACAAAGGTTAATGTTTCTTCCATTAACTAAGGCAAAAATGAAAATCAGTGAGAACAGTGCTGGAAGTTTGGTCTCAATAAAATGGTGGAGGAGGGAGGGAATATGCAAGAGAGTAGAATAAGGGCATCATGACTTATTCATATGTGAACTAACATCTATTCTTTAGGTGTTAGAGGTCTGCAAATTACAGGACAATGGACTTTAGTCAGCTGAAACTCTCTAGGTTAAAGGATTAAATCTCTGCATGAAACACACTATACAGAGTCTGAGTGTCCACACAGTTCATTAATATAGAAACAGTGTTATGAGTCCAGATGTTTCAACCAGCTCTCAGCTACTGTCAGTGTCAGACCTTGGACAGTGGGAATTCAGCCTAACTCTTTCCCTAAGTAAAACAACATAACACCACACACAAACCACACTGTTTAATCTTCACACAAATCAAACAGGTTTTCAGCACTTTGAAGAGGCCTTGCTCTCAGAGTTCCTCCTGTGCTCAATTGCAGCCTACTCAAAACACTGTTTTGCAAAAATCAGCAGGAGGTGCTGGTGAAAGGAAAGCAGAACAAGGAAAGCACTTTATCTGATGCTGTGGTTCCCAGTACCAGCCCGATATGATGGAGGCAACCCTCCCTTTTTGCTGTTCAGCTACTGTGTGACTCATCTAAATTACATTTACCTGCAACCTGCACAAATCTGGAAAATTATATTTAACTGTATAAGTATTTTAAAAGTGTAGTAAGAGTGAAGCATGAGGGGAGTGCTCTTTTGAGGAAGGAACAATCAGATTAATGATAAAAAAATTATAGAAGGCAATTCAAACTCCTCAATAAAGAACAGCAAATTAGGTACAGCAAGAGCTAGTGAGGTCCCACTGATGTGCTTAGGAATACTTTATGACCTACACTGCTCAGGGCATTATATCAGCCATTAAAACCTATCTGGGAAAGAATGCTCCCCTTCAGAGGAGGGGAAGCAGTGTTCTGTAGATGAACAAAACTTTTCCATTTTTTTATCAATTATTCCAAACCTTAAAGGCACAACTAGCAATGCAACACAGGCGTGTGCAACTTAAGCAGTGTCAGTTTAAGCAAAACTGGGCCCTTGCACAGCTTCTGCACTTTCTCTGAAAATGTTTTCCCAAGACCAAATGCAGAGAGAAAAAAAAATATAAAATTGCGTTGAAAAATCAGAAGTGTGAAGAAAAATACAACAGAACACTCTGGTATCCAAGTATTTGCTACTACTTTTAACTCATTACAATGGCTCCAGTCCTGTGTTACCTTATTCTCAAACCAGTTCCTGCCAGACAAATTGACCCTCTGGTATCTAACCTTCCTTTGATCAGTCTCTGAAAAGCTGAGGTGGAAGCCTGCCTTGACCACAATAAATAGGCACACTGCCACAGTATGGCTACACTTAAAATAGCCCAGGTATTGTCCTCTACACCACAGTCATATCTATTCACATAAGAGTAGTTATTAGAGAAAGTACCTCAGTAGAAGTTAATTATGATTTCCTAGGGAGTTTTTCATCCTCACAAACCTTTAAGTCAGTACAAAAGCTTGAATCCTTTATTTGTGATGGCAGTTCTAAACCAGCCAGCACTCCCACTAATTTCAGTGGGGGTTTGCCTGTGTATTGTTTGTGTTCTAAATAATAATGAAACACTTTTAACTTTGAGAGAACCAATCTAAGCGTCAAGAACTGTGCCAATTTAAACTTACCTGTTACAATACAGGTAGTTTTTAAGCACTTTTCAGACAAGCTGTAAATATTCTTCAGGCAAAGACTAACAGACTACATAAGAAAAACAGAGAATTTCAATAAAAGACTCCTGAGTAGAAGGCAGCAGAGCTTTGTGTGCAGAGGCAACATACTAGAACTCCAGAAGAAGCAGGAGAGGCTTTTCAGAGTCCAGTTCAAAAGTGATAAAATACAGGGAGCTTGATTTGCGTACATGAAAGAAATGAATATCCCCTGCATAGTTTCTGGGAGATATGGGCATTTCGGGGCTTGAAGAAGACAAGTTGGGCTTAGTAGTTTTAAGCATGCTTTTTCCCCCTGCACAGGCTTTGTCAATCAACTCCATTCAGCTGTGTACTGATTGCAGGCAGAGCTTGCTAACATCTACAAACTCACCCCCATTACTGCAAACAACAGCAGCTTTGTTTCTTACAAGTCCAACCCGACTTACTGCTTATCTCCACCTGAAGGCAGAACAATCCTGGTTTTGGTAGCAAAATTATCCCTGCAGCGACCAAACAAAACTTCTCAGAGAAGAATCTATGATTTCAGGCAAAGAACTGACAGAGTCTTCTGGACTCAATAATCAAGGAAAATGTGTTTTATAGTATCATGTAGTCTAAAAGAGGAGAAAGACAGCCCAGGACCAATACAGCCTATAAGCAAAAGTGTTTCAGAAAGGAAACTTTTCCCTGGAGGCAGCACACTTAAAACCTGCAGAAACACTAGAAGTCCTTATGGAGGTACTTAAATTATAAGAGGCTAGATTCTTTGCTCATCATGGGAATCATAAAATATATCAGTGGGATGAAGCCAGACCAAAGAGGCAGGTAAGTAATAACAACAAATTTACAATTGCTTAACATAGGTATTTAACTTGATATTTGCAATTGGCCTCACAGAATATTAATGGAACAGTGAAAAAGTTAAACAACTGCATATTTATCAGAATTAGCTCTATATTTTTAGCAATAAACCGACTATATTAGAATAATGATTTTTCAATTATAATCTTTCCAGTAGACATATTTCTATATGCTCCCTTTCTTTTGCTTTCAAGCTGTTGTGCTAAAGCTCAGCTCTTGTTTTTTCAGGTTCCCATTTGTCAGTAAAATCACATCTTCTTTGTTGGTGTCTGTAAGTCAGAGTGCCCTTAGGCCACCGGTTCTCAGGAGGGAGAATCAGAACATGGTAGAAAATTTAGTCTCTTCTATATGCTACATTACTTGCTCAAGGTTCAGGGAGTCCTCAAAACACTGAGGAAACAGCTCCTGATCTTGTAAACTAGCAATCAAAAGAAAGTATAGAACAATTTTATCAGCTGCCAGTATTAGAGATGGAGCATATTTTCCTTGTGGTGTGAGCAGAAAAGCTGTAACCGTGGCACTACTGTGTATGAGAGGCAGGAGCTCTGAGCAACCTGATCTGTTTGAAGATGTGTCTGTTCATTGCAGGGGGGTTGGATGAGGTGAGCTTTAGAGGTACCTTCTAACCCAAACCATTCTATGATTCTGTGATTCTATGAATATACATACAAAGATCTTCTGGAGCACCAGGGACAAATCCAGCCATGGATTCATAAAGCTCTTCATCGGAGCCAGGATTCAAGGAACACTTCATTAACAGATCTGTGGACAGATGAGCCATGGACTCATAAATAGACTCATCCTCCTCGCCTTGCATCAGCTCTTCCTTGATGTGACTCTTCAGCATATCTGCAGTTTCCTGGAGAGGAAGGAGGGCAAGAAAAAAAAAGTTCAAGTCTCATTTAAATAAAGAATGTGGAGAATCAAAGCAAGCAAACAATACCTCATTCTCCCATCACTTATTGAAAAAAACACCTAAAGGTAGCCCATTCCCAAAGATTAAGTCCTTCAAGATCTATGTTGTAGTAATAGGTAAGGAAGGTGAAACAAGTTGGTCCTAACACATTCTGAAGAGCCATTACAGCCTCTCCCCCCTTCAATTTCATGTCCTACCCAATATCTGCAAACTCCCAGAACATAGGCATAGCTCATTCTAAAAATACAAATGCTTGTCAAAGGCTATTTTGGGGCAAGCGTAGCTAACCATAAGGGGGAAAGCTTGCCACATGCAGAGCACCTGCAAGATAGCGAAGTTTTAGCTTTGATGTAGATTCAGTTTCAGTTTCTTGGCCATTAGCAGCAGCATGTAACACCCAGAGTGGGAGTACACAGACCCTTTTCTGTGATATTAACAGGAAACCTCACAGCAGGCAGCTGTTGACATAATACAGGCAACTTCTAATTCACAGGACAGCAGAACCCTTTCTCACATATTTGCAACACAGAGCAGGGGAAGAATGCAGATCTTCACCAAACCACACCAGGGAGCAAAATGTAAAGTTTCATTCCATCCTATTCCCAAGTTCCAAGTATGTCACAAGCACAGTCATCTTAACCAGTCACAATAGTATGAGATATTCTTCCATCCACAAATGCCAACTCATGGGCCCTCAATCCACAGGGCATGTGTGTCAGAACTGTCTACACATGCTTCCCTTCAAAAAGAGTCAGGCCAGTAGCTCATAAGATGCTCTACAGAGGTGCAGAGGAACTTTTGCTAGAGTGAAAATAAGGTGAGTAAAGGGGTTTACTGGGATTTTCAGATATCCATACTAGTAGTGATTCTAGTCACTACCTTGCAGTTGTGTCACTGGTGCAGATGATTTGTGTGCTCTGGTACTATGCTGCACAGCTTGACAGTCAATAAGCAGGACCTACTCTCAACACAGCTGTCTCTGTGCTGGTGGAGAGAATATGGGAGGAGCACCATACTGCAATAAGAGGTTGGAAGGACTCCCTGCACATCTCTCACTTACCCCAATGCAAAGATTTTGATCACACAATTTACAGTTTCTGCAGCTCTCCTGCAACACTTAAGTGCCAAGCTTGGTGCCACTGCCCACACTGTCTGTGGGACAAGGCAGAAAGACTGCTGCTTCCTCTTACCACATATTCATCAATGAACTGGCGGAGATCCTTAAAGCCATGCTTTTCTGCTATGGTGTTTGGATAGTGGCCATACTTGTTGGCTACACTGTAGGCCTGCAGCGCTCCAGGGCACGTAAGCAGCAAGGCAGTGAGGTTCTTCAGCCCATATCTTGCAGAGAAGTGAAGCAGTGTTGGCAACTCCTCATCCCTCTGATCTATGAGAACAGGAGCCCATTAGAATCTAAGTTTTTCTCTAGTAGCAACAGAGATATAGGCGAGAAACAAAGGAGAAAATATGGGAGACATTTGGGGACCATCATCTTTTTACTCTGGTTGTGTTTGAAGCTGTCTACCCAGCTGCATCTGTCACAGTTTAGGAAGTGAGACTGATGAATGTAATTAAAAAAGGGTCAGCTGACACAAAGGGCAATCCCCTTTCTATAGAAACTAATAAAGAAATCACCAGAAATTTAGCTTCTTGGCTAAGATTCAAGATTTTTGAGACAGCCTATGAAGGTACCACATTCCACAGTGTTAAGGCACTTCAAGGTAAAACAATGGATACAAACGAAGTTTAAAAATAAACCAAGAATCTTTTAACTTACTTGCTGTCATATCTTCTTCTTCCAGCTGGTTGATTCCAAACAGGTGTAAACCACTGGCAGGAATGTTCTTCTTGAGTGACTCAGTCAACAGTTTGTCCAGTGCTTCTATGCTGTATGGCACGATTTTAAAGGCCTAGAGATAAATGGAAAGTGCTTTTATTTGGAGGAGTCTGGAGATTCAGTTAAGGTGAGATTTCTATGGTGTTTTTATTATTAAGCACAATCAGAAAACAGTAGGTATAAATGTGGAAGGTAGAAATGTTCAGGTTAAGCAAAGAACATGAGTAGCTTCCTGGTCCAGAAACAGCATATCATTAAACTGAACAGAAGACACTCCACAACAAGACAGAGCACAATGAGAAAGTCACTCATGCAACTGCAAGCACAGAAAACTGTAGCCTCCTACTTCCTTGACAGGCATAATCTTACTTCTGTAACTGTTCCAATGAAGTGTCCCTCCTGCTGTAAGTATGCACTAGCCCATGTTTAATTACTCTGGTGTAAACTCTGGGTTTGGCTTTTGAGCTGCTTTTTCTTAGCCACTGTGAAACAAGCCTATTCCCCAAGTAGAGGCATCAACCAGTTCCAACTTCTCCACAACTTGAACTAAAAAGTAAAGAAAACGCAGTCTCCCCTGCCCCAGGTATACTGGTGACTAACAGCACTACTCTGTAGGCTTCTGCTATGTGGCCAACCAGGGACATGCAGGCAGGCAGCAAGGCAACACATCTGAGAGCTTGCCTTGTGCAAGCTTTACCCCTCTGATAGGGTTCAGGTACCCCAACTGGGCAAAATACAATATGAAAACTGAGAAGTGGTTTTGTTAAAGAAGTGCTAAGAGGAAATGAATAATTTTATGTTACTCTGCTTCCTTCAGATAATACGAACCTTTGTTTCTATTCACATCTTAGGTACAAATTCCCAAACAGTTTATTTCCTTATGGTACTTTCTGTTATACCAAGTTCTGTCATTCCAAGCTTTTCAAGTCATCAAGATCTAAATGTGAGTGTTGACTGACTGCATTTCTTTTTTTGTTAGTTGGATAACCTGACTCAGCCAGCTATGTGCTTCAGAGACAGAAAAAGCACCCATGCTTTCACTTGAAGGGGGTATTAAGGTTACGTGATAATCCCTAAATAACTTTGCATTTCTTCATTTCAGAAGAGCTACTTCACGGCAAGCGTTTTTACTTATGCCCACTTGTCTTAGCCTCTGAAAGAGCTGGTTTCCAAAGCATAGTTTCTATGTTTGCTAAAGTCATTACCTGGCACATGAACTGTACGGGGTTGGCTGCATTAGCCAAAAGTCTGCTGATTTCCTCCATGTCCGTGTGGTAAGTGACACTTGTTTCTCCCACCATCAAGTCCCCTGAATATATCTGCAGAGGCACTGTCCCAGAGGTTAAATCTTTGAAAAGAAAGAGCAGAAATCACCATTAGAACAAACAATGGCCATGAGTTTGCATCAAATACTGCGAGGACAGGAGTTTGGATATACTGCCAGATGGATACCAAAACAGTTTCTGCTGTACTGAATTCATGAAGAGTCATAAAAAGAGTCATGATCTTGGTCTGAACACTAGGTAGAAAAGTACTTCTTAACTACCTTCTTTATATCTATGTCAATGCACAAAGCCTGTGACCTGCTAAGTTGTCTGCTAACAGTAGACTGGGCCATTGATGTGAGCAGTACTTCACCTCAAATTAGAAAGCCTCACATCTCTCCATCCCTGGCTTTCTCTGGAGATCTCTTTAAAGCTATGCCAAAAAATACAAGAGAAGGGAGAGAAATCTGAAAAGTCACTGAGAATTCTGCAACATCTGTCAGCCTCACTAGTGTCTGAATAAGATCAATTTAAAAGAATTCCAGCTTTGCAACTTTATTCATGCATAGGATTTTCTTCTACCTGCACTTTGAGAGCTTTTTGATGTTTTGTCTAGTGTGTATTCATAAGTCTGGACTTTCTCTTTGAAACACAGATATTTTGAATCCCACTGAAACTAATCTTTCCCTGTTAGCAACTCAGGAAATGATGAAACGGTTACAGTCACACAAGAAATGAATTAAAAATTATTTCTCTTACTGTTAGAAACTGCAGAGCTTCATTTGTACACTCCATCATGTTTATAATTCAAATACAAGCTGGTTTTAAGGTCTGTGTTTATATTATAAGTCTTGATTTAAGACAGATTAAATTGAACCTTTATATGTGGGTGAGGTCACCTTCTTTAAATCAACCCACCTCACTGACTTTATGGGAGTTACTATAATGACTATTAGTCTCTATTCTCAGAGCTAGAACAATGACTCTTCAAGAGACAGACCAAAGTAGATTAAATAAAATAATGCTGGGAAACTACTATCAATCTTTAAGGTTCTGAAATCATGCCACTAAAGTTTAGTAAACCTAAAGTTTAGACAACCTTCAGTTTTGTAAATGTAAATATCTAGAGTGACAGAACATACATAAATTAAAAGGCAAGCCAGAATAGTTTCAGTTTTGATCACAGAGATCATTACACATTAAGCTGTCATAGTCATGCAATTATTTAACTAGCACATTGGTACCCTGCCAATGCTAATGTGGTGGTGGTCATCACACACAGTTAAGTTCAAAGTGCTTTACCAGCTTCAAAGTGTTTCCATACTGCAACCTACTGCTGCTGGGGGGAAAACAGAGCCCCCAGGCAATAGTATCTCTCAGCTCCTCATCACAAAAGTATCACAAAAGATGAGAATGCAAGTTCAAGATTTTCTGGCCTCCATTTTTTCTGCATTGCAACCTTTACCCCTCTGGCACTTCTCAGGACAGGCAGGTTGAGATAGAAAGGAAGCAATGGGGGAAGGAGGTGGGGAAAATCTCAGTCCAGCTTACTTGGAGCCTTCAGAGAGATTGTGTACTCATTCTCCATCTCGGCCAGCACACGCACAGAGGATGCATTCTCTGGAGAGAATTCAACTTCAGTTTTCATTTCACCATCTAGTTTACATTTCATGATAATATAAACTGTTGTCTGCACCTAAGAGAAAGGGCATTACAACACACAGGTTCAATAACATAAAAATACTTACTTTGTTAAGTTCATTTTCTTGGAATTTTGTTGTCATTGCAACTAACACGTGAATTACCATCTGACACTTTCACAGTCCTGAATGGTTTTCAGGAGCATCTTCCAGTCATGGACTAGCTGGGCAGGTGGCTTCTGTTACAGGTTGCACCAGCACAGATATATGCATTAAACTGATAAAACTCGATTTATCAGATAGATTTATAAACTGATTAAGGCTAGATTTATAAAATTATTTAGTTTCAGCTCTATCAGTGTCTTCACTCAAGCAGCACAGCTACATTTTAAACAGAAACAAAAGAAGAAACTTAGACTCTTTCCATCTGGGGAGATGCTATACTAAGAAGTGCTGTTTTTCAGACAAGAAGCCCTGATCCAAGCTCTTCAGAGTCACTTATGAGGCACACACCAGAATTGTCATACTAGACTTCATCCAAGCTGTGGAGTTAATTTGTTCATTACAATCACCTTACTCCATTTGCCACCAGAACAGAGGAAGGGAAGAGTGTGAATCTGCCTTGCAGCACACAAGCCAAGCATCTGTGTTAATGAGACTGTCAACCAGTGACACTGCAGCCTCCACTGCACTGAGCACTGCATGTTACCAAGTTATTCCTGGGCCTAGGGAACCAAGCTCATGAAACAGAGACATTGAGGACAGGGGGTTGAGAGGGAAGGAGACAGAAGATGAATTCAGGACTAATTCCCAGGCCTGTAAAGCTGACCATTACAGAGCAGCATAATGGGTTGCATCATCACACAGTAAGAACATAGCCCAAGGAGCAGACATACAGTACCCCACATTGTATGCGGTCAGGCTGCACCACTGGGTGGTCCCCAGTGCTCTTGGATGATCTGTGTTCTTCACTCATGGCAAGTCTGTGGAAGTGAGCTGGATTCTTCTCCTCTTCTGTTTCTGTATCAGTCACAGAGTCACAGCCGGAGTCTAAAATAAAGCATGGAGAGTCTTGTTACATCACTCCCCTTTGCTGAAAATGCCTATCACACACATCCATCCTGAGAAACGGCCAGGGAGCTAGTAGGGTGGAACTTGCCATTTCTCTCAAAGATAAAAGGGGATCTAGCTGAAGAAAGGGAAACTAGAGAGCTTCCTCTTTTTTTGCCTTAAGAGGTTTTCCAGGGAAGATTCACAAAGACATAAAAGTGGTGGAATAGCACTGAATATGCTTACAAAACAAACAACAATGCCACTCTTTGCTGAGATGCATAGTCCCCTCTCATGTTAGATAGGAAAATTAGTATGTGAATGTCTAATGTAAGAATGATCGTCAACTGACTCCAGCTGCACTCTGATACACTGTAGGATGGCCAGCAGCCTTTCTTTCCTAAAGTAAATGATGAAAACGAACTTTTCTGTCATTTCAGTGGCATCTTTTTCTCAACCCTGCTTATGCTGCTCACCCAAACTCCCAAGTTCATTATTGTATCAAAAAATACAACATGAGGCAGTAGTATGAAGGGGTTCTGTTCCTTGAGCAACAACTATAAGCTCCAGTATCTATACAAGAGCAAAGCTGAAATGTACCAGAGCCTTTGCATCGAAAGTAACAGCACTTTACCTGAATAGTCTCAAGAGTAGAAGTAAACGCATGTAAGTCTACAATAAGTGTGTACAAAACAATGTTCTCATTCCCATTTCCCAAAACCAGCACAGATATTGATGGAAGTGCAAACAAACTGAACTGATACCACTGACTGGAAAAAAAACAAAACAACCCTAGCCAGAACTAAAATAGATTACTTACCCCTGCCAGGAAATACTTTTCTCAACTAGAGAAAGGAAACAAAGTGAACACTTTTTTAGCTAGTTTCTACTTCTTGATTCACATGGTTCCCACCAGGTTTTTTCCCCTCTGTCTCCCAGAACATGGGGTGAAAGTCACTGACTTCACCTTGTCAGAAGACTGATATGAATTCTTAAAACTATCTCCCATGACCAAAATTTCCCAAACTTTGGAAAACTGTGGAGCGGTCAAGAATTTAAGACAACATTTTGGAAGTCATTTGTTATTTACTACTTAGTATAAAAACACATCTGTAAAAAGCAGTACAAATTATTTACTAGATAAAACCTCAGATTTGGACTGACAGTTTTTTATATTAGTAAGAAATGTTCTATTTAAAATGCTCACTCCTGAGGAGAAAGACCTAAGTGACCAACCTTGCTGTCTAACCTGTGGCATCCATAGCGTGAAGCTGTCAAGAGTTCTGATTTTACTCAGAACCTCTCAACCTCCAAGTACATTAAGTTTCCACAAATCAAGAGAGCCAAAGTTAGTAAAAGCAGGCCACCACTAGGAGTTCATGTCCTCCTTGTTTCAAACATTGAAGCTAGAAGTCAGTCAGGAATTTAAATCTAGACTTCTTCTTCTTCATCATCATCATCATCATCATCATCATCATCATCATCATCATCATCATTATTATTATTATTATCAAAGACTTAAACTTAAGATATTTGAAATTCTTTGTCACACACTTTTTTTTTTTAATATATATTTTCTATACATTTAAATGGGATTTTAGGACTTAAAATAAATCAACTTCACTTTCTGGAGACAAGTTTTAAGCCACAAAACTTTAGCAAATCATTCAGTTGAAATTTTTGTCACAAACAGTGGTGCACACACATTTTAAGTATGTGAAACTCTCCACATAGCAACTAAGCCTACTCACATGAGTACAAGTAGATTGCTGCCTTAATGTTTGCTGTAGAAAGAATGAAGCCAAAAATTTACAGCTCTAAAGTTCAAGTAAGGCATCACCACTAGTACTGACATTTCTTAAACAAACCTAAAACAATGCATGTAATTTAGCAAATGGATTTTAATACTACACCAACACAAGTCTGAAGATTTGACTAAACAACTACTTTGACACAAGGCTAAAGGCTGTACTGAACGTGGTCTTTCAGATTTTTAAACAGTGGTACCAAGTATTAGAGAAAATGAACTAAGGTTTTATATTCCTTAACTCAATATTTTAATCTATACTGTTCAAAGTCATCAGCTGCAAGAGCCACACACATTTTGGGAACCCTTCTCTGAGAGAAACATGCACTACTCCCACCTGGGAATGCCAGGCTGCCCAGCTGCACACAGGAGAAAATACAGCACTGGCCCCACATCCTTCCCTTACACGATAGTTATCACGTCAGATATTTGGCATATGCAGAGCAAGATGTCATGTATTTGGGGAGGAGAAGAGGCAACTATTACTAGAATAGTAATTGCTGTTGGTTTCTTCCAATATGACTAAATCAGAACGACTAAGCTCACAGCAGATGAGAGAGCTAGTGATGACCAAATTATAACAAAACATTAATGTTCCTGCAACATATGCACAAATGGACACTAGCCAGCATCCTGATCCTCAGGGTATCATCCCCAACCCGATATGGAACCATTAGTGTGGTAATTTTTACCTCATTTGGCCAACATGTGGTCCTTTTCAGAGAAAAATTAAACCTAAAGCTGTGGATCTCAGCTACAACATCTACAGTAAGCACGGATAAGACAGGGGGCAAGGAGAGAACAAGCCCCTGGTCTCTCTTTTTAATGATGTTATTTGATACTAGAAACAAATTAACAGATAAAGAATAACTAGAGCTTTTAGGAAGTTCTGGCACTGCCTGACCCTGTCCTGCACTTCTGCATTCTTGTAACAGAGGTGGCTACCCAGAGGTCATATGTGAGCACAGAGCTGTTAGGTAATACAGGAAGAAACAAGCAATGTTAATCAGTAATTGGATTAACAGCTGAAGGAACAGGCATTCCGAGTTTCGGGTATGAATTACTCATCTGTTTTTTCATTCAGAGAATACTGAAATTGCAAAGTACCAAATTCCCACATCAGCAGTGAAATGATCCTATGATTCATCTTGCAAATTCCAGTCACGTACTACTGACTGACTCATGAACCTGCAAGAATTGGAAGAGGAAACCATCCCATTACATTCGACAATATCCATGCTCTAAAGCATTGTTAGATCAGGCTTCCCACTCAATAAGATACTTCAGTAATCACAACCTATTTGCATATACAGATTCAGCAATTATATTATTACAATAATACCCATGTTGGAGAGGCCATCACTGAGGAGATCAACAGACTTATTAGAAAGGTAAGCTAATACCTGAATTGAGCTTCTCCATGAGCAGGTGCTGTAGGTCAACAGCTCGTGGCTCTGCCTTTCTGTTCCCCTTTAAATGGAGGCTACCTCAGGCCTCACTTGACAGTCTGTGAAATACTTGTGAGAACAAGCAGTAAGCGGAGGAGATGCGGTCCAAGAAACCCGACCACATTTCCCCTTGAAGAACATGCCCCCCTCCGGGAAGTGTCAGTGGCTGAGCTGCAGAGAGCAGCCCCACGCCCTTCTTGCCCGCCCTGCGGAGCTCCCTGCACAGCTGCCCTGCAGAAACTCACCCCAGAGAGAAACCCAGGGGAAATGGAGGCATGGACATGTGTTTCAAGAGCCATTTAGCACTTTTAGAAGAAAACATGAAGCAGCCAGTTATTTTGGCCTGCTGCTGTAGAGCCCTCACAGCTCGCTCTGTCATCCATTTCCTCCTGGCTAAGCTGGCAGGCTATCGGCATGGAGCCAGCAGCTGTGGTTTTTCACAAGTCAGCCCTTACACCACGGGACACGTGAATGCTTGGAAGGAGTCAGCAGTCTGTCCAGATCACTCTGTCATCCAGACAGTAATGCAAATGGCACAACTGGGCAACAGTGTGCCTCTAAGTTCTGCCTGTGTGGACCAACTCCCAGCTGGCATCTGTGAACACTTCCCATTCTGTCCATCGGCCAGGTGAGACAACTACCTCTCACGAGGCCTCAGATTTCACCCCAGTATGCCCAGAGCAAGATGGAAGGCCCTCAAAGAGAGCTTCTGCTTTTACTTGAAGCTTGCAATTGGCCAGTCTCCTTTTCCAAATGCTAACAAGGACCTAGTCTCCCAGAGCAATGCCAGCTGCATTTGCAAGAAGAAGGCAGAGCACCCCCCAAAAAGAAAGTCAGGGAAAGCAGGGAAAGTTATCTTTCATCATGCTAACCTCTTTATCAAGGAGATAAACGCTCATGAGTGAAACATCTTGTGATAAGCCCTCAAAACTGGGTTGTACTGTAGCAACATTTCCCCTTTCAACAGAATGGAAAGAAACAGCAGAAAGGCAGCAGTTGAGAAGAACAAAACACAGGAAAATGTAAGACTTTGTAAAACTTCCCCTTCTCTCCAAACCCCTCATCCCAAGCAGCAGAACAGCACCTACAAACAGATTTTCGGTTCTACAAAGAACATGGTCACGTTTCATATGTCGCGTAAAGCTGGAAACTACAATAAACTATTTCTCATTCTCCATCAGGAAATAAGGTATATTTTACTATGTAAAGTTCTGCTGAGGGTCTCACAGGTCTAGTGGTCAATTTATGACAGGATTATGTATATAAACCTAAAGAACTAGCTGGGGTGCACAGGAACAGGACAGAGGTAGGAAAGAGTTTCTGAGGAGGAAGCAGGGTTCTGGCCACCCAAACAACACACATTGAGTACATGACCAAAATCTCAAGAAAGAGAGGCTGGAATAGTTCATTTCCATCACCTATGCCAGAAGGAGACAACACATACTGACAAAGCGTATGCATGACTTTTGAGAGTGCCAAGAATCACACTACATCCACCACTGATTCAAGTTTTCCTGAGCAGCCACAGATAAGAAACATGAACATCCAACTTGCCAATTCAGTATCTCCTCTTGTCATATCTCCTTGTTTCAGTTTAAGCAGAATGTCTAACACTTGAATGACAGAAAAAACATTCCCTGTAAAAGCCTTCAAAGCTGGAATTCCACCATAGAGAGGTGGGTAGCTGCTTTGGAAACATTCAATGAGGAGATCACTGTTTGACTGAAGGTGTGGTTCTACAAATG